TATATATATATCCTGCTCCGGTACTGGGAATCGAACTCAGGACCTTGTGCTTGTGAGGCAGGCACAGTGCCACTGAGCTAAACCCCTGGCCCTCCTTTCAGTTTCTTATGTTCTTTTACAACTTTTATACTTTTACCAATGTTCTTTCTCTTTTTTACATTTTAAATATGAATTGCCCATCAGATCTAAAATTTTATATTCTGTAATTTCATTTTGTAATAAAACCATTTCTTTTCATGCTTGTCAGTTTCTAGTAGCCATCAAGTTTGCCTTTGTTTCATATTATCTCTTTGAAAAGTGTAAATACTTACTGTCTTCATTCTTCATCATCTAATAGCTCTCTTCTCCCCCCCTCTCTTTTTCCCCGCAATACTGGGGAATCAAACTCAGGACCTTGCACTTGTGAGGCAGGTGCAGTGCCAGTGAGCTAAATCCCCAGCCCTCTTCTTTTTTTCTTTTGACAGGGTCTCTGTCTTTAGCTCCAGCTGGGACTCATAGCCCATGGTCACCTCAATCTCAAAATTCTCTTGCCTTATCCTCCTCTCTGTTGGGATTACAGCCACATTTCCCCATGCCTCTTTCAAGTATGTCTTTTTCTTTTCTTTTCTAATCTTTCATTTCATTTCGTTTCCTCTTTAACCTCAGGGCCTTTGCACTGAGCAACATCCTTAGGCCTTTTTTGTTTTTTTATTTTTATTTTCATTTTTGTTTTTTTTTGAGACAGGGTCTTGCTACATAGTTCAGGCTTGCCTTGAACTCACTATGTAGCCCAGGCTGGCCTTGAATTCTCAATGATCTTCCTGCCTCAGCCTCCTGGGTGCTGGTATTGTAGGCATACACCACCACGCCTAACACAGTTCTTCCTCTTTGTGTTTTGGTGTCTTCTGTTGAATAAGTTCTCCCCACCCTTGCCCTTCCCAGTCTCTAGTGACCATTTCATTCTTCTACAAGATCAACTTTCAGTTTCTATAACATAGTGAATATTTGTGGTATTGTCTTTTTGCCTGGCTTATTTTATTTAACATAGTGACGTTCTGTTTCATCCTTGTTGCTGCAACTGATGGAATTTCATTCTTTTTTATGTTTGAAGAACATTCTACTGTATATACCATGTTTTCTTTATCCATTCATCCACTGATGGACATCTGAATTGATTCTGTGTTTTAACTACATATTGTGTATAGTGCTGTCAAGGAGTGCAAGTATCTTTTTGGTAAAGTGATTTTATCACCTTTTTTATATACACAGTAGTGAAATTGCTGTATCATATAATAGTTCAATTTTTAGTTTTTTTAGGACCCACCATACTGTCTTCCACAAGTACTGTACTAGTTTACATCTGTACTATACTATTTGGTTCTTCACTCCATTTTTAAATGGATTTTTATTTTAGTCTTCACCTTTTTTGAGTTCCTTATATATTCTGGATAGTAATCCCTCGTGAAATATTTTGCAAATATTTTCTCCTATTCTGGTTGTCTCTTACCTCTCTTGATTATTTCCTTTACTATGCAGAAATTACTCAAATGTCAAATTCTCAAGTACAACTACCAGTTAGTGATGACTTTTGGAAAGATTAAGAGAACACAGCAACAATTTCCACATTATATTTCCAGGACAAGCAGATATTAATCCTAACAGTCAGCACAAGCTGCCATCTTACTCAGAAAAAAAGACTGATTTTATTGGGAAGAGTCTCTAGTACTTTGTATAAGAGTCTTTGAATTAGTTTTATAACAGAATGGCCTCTCTTTTTTAGGATGTGGAGGAGACAAAACACCAATGTTGTAGTCAGTGTTTGCAAGAGAAACATTTAATGCAGGACCCAGAAATTTATGAGATTAACTTAAGATATTCTCCCACAGAGTCAAATGTAAAAGAGTGCAAGAGATGTGTCCACACACGAGATCCAAAGAATCCAGCTGAGAGCCTGAAGTCCCCAGCAGTGTCCCCTAGGACTCCAGCCAAGGGCCCGGAGCCCATTCTAATGTACCGTTTAAGTCCACATCAGGAGGCCAAGCAATCTGTGATGGAAGACTGAAGGGTCTGCACCAGAAAGCCAAACGGCCAGTGCTAGACTCTGGAGTCTGCACCCGCAGGCCAAAGAGGTGGTGTGGCAAGGTGAAATTTCTGTGCCAAAGGCAGGAGATGACACTGAAGGCAAGGTGAGGACCGGAGCTTCTCCAAAGAGAACAGCCAAGGCTTCTCTGAGGAAAATCAGTTGAATGCCTCCCTCCCATTCTTTTCTACCACCTGACCACCATGCTGACTCAGTTCAGCCTGACATTCCTGCTCAAGTTGCCAATCAGTTCACCATCACAACCTACGGCGTCTCTTCCTCAGTCTTCTTGTTAATTCTGAAGATGTATTTCTGAGACCATTTCCGGGATTTAATTAGTTAACACCAGAAGCAAAAAAGCAGACATCATTATACCAATGTCTTCAAGTGTTTTCCCTTGTTTTCTTACAGTGATTTCATAATTTCAGGTTTTACATTTAGGTCTTTTATCTATTTCAGCTTGATTTTTGTGTGTAGTTAGAGAAAAGAATCTAGTATGATTCTTTTGCATATGTGCATCTAGTTTTGAAGAGATTGTCTTTTTTCATTGTATGTTCTTATGGTGCCCCAGCTTTTTATTTCTCTTTCTTTTATTCTTTTCTTTTTCCCTCTCTCCAGGATAATTTTGGCAATTCTTGGTCTTATGGTTTTGTATGAATTTTAGCTTTTTTTTCTTTTTCTTTTAAATAGAAAAACATTTATTGTTACATTTTAGGCATACGTAATGATAATACTCATAGTAGGGAATTTGCATCTGTGCAGGGTACACCCTGTCCTTTTTCCCATTCCCTTCCTCCCCTCAAGCTCCATCCTCTCCCTATATGCAAAAGCTTTGTCTCCATTTTTCCTTCTATTTTCACCTTTTTTCCTTGTCCTTTCCCTCCTTCCCCCTCTCTCCTTCCTTGAGCCCCTTCCCATTTGAACATTTTCTTCCCATTTCCCAATATCTATTATACACTTTAGTCCTTATTTCCACTTTCAGTTTCTCACAGCAAAGAAACAATGTGGTATTTAAACATATGTGTCTGATTTACTTCACTAAAGAGTATGGTCTCGAGGTCCATCCAGTTAGCTAGAAATGTCTGAAGCTCATTCTTTATGGCAGAATAGTGCTCCAACATATTTTAAAAATCATGTCTTTTTTATCCATTCATCAGTTGATCGGCATTTGGGCTGTTTCCAAGATTTAGCTGTTATAAACTGTGCTACTATAAACATGGGTGAGCATATATTGCTATGGTATGGTGCTTTTAATTATTTCAGGAAAATACCAAGAAGAGGAGTAGTTGGGTCAAATGGAGCCTCCAGTTTTAGTTTTTTAAGGAATCTCCGCACTGATTTCCACAGTGGTTGCATCCCATCCACAGCCCTTCTAGCATTTGTTATTGGTTGATTTCTTGATAGCAGCCATTCTTTCTGGGGTGAGATGGAATCTCAGCGTTGTTTTAATTTGCATTTCACAAATGAACAGTGATGTTGAACATTTTTT